GTCAATCACGTCGCAAAACTTAATACTTTTGTGAAGTTTGAAAACAAAATTCTTAACAATTTTAATTAAAGCTTGAATTTTGTATTACAAACAATATAACAGAAATCGTGTAAACATATACCGAGTAATAAAACGGTCAATAAATCGATTTTTTTCGGGAAAGGATATGTGGAATACAAAGAAACAACATTGCCTTAGCCCATAAACGTCGCATTTTACAGGTTAACTTTACGAGGTTGGAGGACTGAAATTTTTAAAACGGGTTAATTTACAGGATATACCCAGGGCAAAAATCCGGCCTATCATAAATTTCCTTGCTTTTTCTGACTGTGCTACGTTTTATTATTGCTGTAATTCTGCCTGCCTCGTTTGAAACTTTGTAACGTTTCGTATAATACGCTCGAAACGATAACATGCATCTAAAACGGCCAATATAACCATGATTAGTGCTTTCAGCTATTAGTTATTATCAAAAGTAATATTGGTAGAATTTGTAACTATTTTTTAGACATCTAATGAAAAACAAACTTTAGTATCTTTTAAGAGTCCATTTCACTAGTCGGAGAAAGTAGCAGATTTATGTAAAACTGGCTAGGTATTTTTACACAAATGAAGAAGGAAATTAAAGATAAAGGATTACACTATATCAGTATTGTAGCACATTTTTAGATAACTTCTTTATTTTTAAGACTTTGAAGGTCAAAAATCACCAAAATATTCCTTATATTTGAACTAAATCTTCTCGAAAATAAAGACATAATTTAAAATTCCGTTTCAATACGGAAATAGATTGAAGTTTTGTGATTACAGTGATATATAATTTATATGGTTTTGTAACAAATTGCTCGCTATTTTATGGCAAATGCTGAAGCTCTGCAAATCTTAATGAAGCCTTAATCAAAGTACGTGTGTTTGGAATTTTGGGTGTGTCTTAACACGACAGGATCGGGCTAAGCCTTAGGCAGATTTCTGAAATATAATATATATTTCCTTCGACCACACACCCGCTTCACCAGACCCTTGAGAGCGACCCGAACAGCACAGCGCAATAGACTCTTAAGGAAGGAAAGTTTAGGCCCTTGGAACACCCTCAAAAGGAAAATGACATATCAAGAATTTACAACTTTGAGAAACACCTCACTATAGTATTAAGCAACAAAAAGAATTTGAAGAGAGTAACGTTTGCTCAGCAGATAGAAAACCATACCACACCGTGATATACTGAAGCTGTTAAAACCAAAGGAGGAACAGGGATAATCAGGCAGGCAGAAATCTACGCTATTGAAAGATGCGTAAAGCCTAACTTAGATTGGATCTATCGGAAATAAGAAATAGCGACCAACTCAATGACCATCAACTCGAAGCTGGTCAAATAATGGCTATAGAAGCTAAACAAATTAGTCAAAGAAAATAAAGCCCTCCTACTCTGTAGCACCAAGGGATAGAAGGCAATAAAAAAACAAAAGATCTAACTAGAAAAGGAGTGAACACTCCACTAACTGAACCAGAACCGTTCCGCTTCCCAAGTGGAAACGAACTTAAAGCGGAACTCAAGTACTTAAAATCTCGTTACCCTAGATCATAATATATACTTACGTGGATAAATCAACGCCATAAGTTTAACATTAAAAAATATGTCTCCAGCATCACGATATGCCATTTTAAACCTTCTTTCTTGCACTTATGACACGTTCAATAGGTTTGTCTTTTCCGAGGACCTTACTTTGCGCATGCGCATTAAAAGTTTCAAGTATTTCCATAATAATCACAATTTTATACGGTTTAGAAAGTACAAATTATACATTGTTATGGAAATCAACTTTTCATTGTCATCATATTGTCATAATCTAATTTCCATTGAGTCCACGCTTGTTTTTTTGTGTTTTTTATTTTAAAAATTGTATTAATTACTCTTTTGTCGCCCGCTTTTATACAGCCAAGGATGCAAGTGTGTTCAGTGAGAAGTTAGTTTTAAGTTTATCCAATTATATTTCTTTTTTTTTTGTACTTTCTAAATACTCCTAAATATGACTAGAAAGTGTTTGGTTTGTGGAAGTTCTAATATAAAGGTCCTCGAATTATCTTTTCATATAGGCCAGTAAAGTATTTAGTTGTTCTTTTATTTATACCGTATGATCGAATAAAAACGGCGTCAGCGATGGCTATGAAATGAACATATAAATAACAATTACATATAAAATGACAGCGATCTTCATTTCATAGCCATCGCTGACGCCGTTTTTATTCGATCATACAGTATTAAACCACATGCATATACTTTCTGGTTAGATTTCCTAAGAATATTGATACTCGTACGGAGTGGCTAAATGTATTTTTTATATCATTTAATTTTTGTAAGAGTAAACATTCAATTTATTGTTCAAATATATGCATTTTACAATTTTTTTTAAAATTAATATTCAAATTTGGTGCGTGGACGATAGGTCCTCTACAAGGATAGATAGAGTAGAAGCACCGCATGTGCAACAAGAAAAGAACATAAATGGAAGTCGTTGATATGTTTGCGACAGTTTCCATAGGGATTTACTTATCCACGTAAGTATATACAGGGTGAGTCTTAAATAAGTGCAAATATTTTCAGGGCTGGTAGATCTCGATAAAAGAAACATATTTTCTCTTTACCATTTTTCAGATTAAGACCAAACCAAAATAACCTAGTTATTTCAGTTTGGAAATTAAAAAAAAATGATTAATTGAAAGATTAATTAATTTTCAACATTTTTTTTTGCGAAAAAAAAACTCATAGACGTGTTCCAGGGGTCGAAATAATATACCAGCCCTGAAAATATTTGCACTTATTTAAGACTCACTCTGTATATGATTTAGGCTTGTTACACATATTTTTATTACTCATTACTTAGCATTTGTTTTAAATATTATGTTGAATGGTAGGTAATGTTCATAAGCTACATGTATTGTATTTTTTATTAGTTTATTTAGAGGGCGCTTCGCGTGCTTATTAAGGAACCGCTACTGATTCAGATTGATAAATTAAGGTTTATGATCGGAAAGATAGCGAGAAAAAATAAAAAGCTTTTTAAAATTATAGCAATAAACACAAATTGAAGTGTTTTCGAGTCGTTCTCTGGCCCGAAGAAGAGAACGAATGTGTATAAAAAATTTAAATAATAAATTGGGAGTCACTTTAACCGAATTAAATCAAATATGTCACAGGCAATTTAAGTCAATTTAGTCGGTTTTTGTGACGACTTCGGCCGAACCACGCATTCTTGCGCTTAATAGATTCATTTTCGGGATTATTTTTAGATAGATATTTACGATATAGGGGAAAGTCGTATATTTGCACCGTAAAAAATAAAATGTGAAGTTACATGGATAATATATCTTGGATGGAATATATCTTACATGGATAACATAATACTTATGTTAGATAGGAACTATCGGAAACAGGAAATAGTCGATAGTCAAGCAGTACTAAAAGTGATCAACTCAGTAACCATCAACAAATTAGGCAAAGAAAATAAAGTCCTTCTACTCTGGGTCCTAGCACACCAAGCGATAAAAAGCAACGATCTACATATAGATATAGCTAGAAGAGGTGCTCCACTAACTGGACCAGAATCCAAAACCGTTCTGCTTCCCATGTGGAAACCAACTCAAGAACCTCGAAGACTCCATCCGTAATCTGAAATGGGAATCCTCCAACGGTCTAAGACACTCGAAGAAATTTCTCAGAACTTACGACCGGGAAAAATCGAAAATTTTTATCGATTTAAGTATTAACAATTTTAGGATTGTCACGGGGTTTTTAACAGGACATTGTCTCCTCAATGAAGACCTCTGTAGTTTGAAGCTAAGAAACAACGGCGAATACAGATTCTGTGGAGAAAATGGGGAAACACCTATAATAGAGTTAAACCAGACCACCTCGTCACTGAGTGCGCCGAGACGACAACCATTCGTGCCATAAATTTTGGCACGACTGATATCAGAGATGGAAAACTAGCCTCTGTGAAGCCGTCTCAAATACTGGCTTTTGTAAAAGTGTTGAGACTGTATGATGAGTTAGAGTTCGTTATAACTCAAGAAAGGGGGACCCACAATAGATCTGTAAGGTCGCGGTGATTAACCCCCCTCCCAAACATTCTATATAGATATTTCTGGGTGCTTATTATACAAGATGTCCCAGAAATAAGTGGTTAAGTTTAACTGGTAGTGTAATTCAATCCCAGAAACACGCCTGTGAGGATTTTTCGCGAAAAAAAAATTAAAAATTGGGAATTTTTTGGATTTTTTTTAGTTTTTAGTTAAAAAACATAATTTCTTGATAATATGGCAACATAGGTAGTAAATTACATTTACAAGAAAGAAAATCCAGAAAAGATCCAGTGGTTCTCAAAATTTGAACAAAAAATCATTTTTTTTAGAAATTTTCAAAGTAAAATAACTCCGTTATTTTCGACTTATTTGAAAAACAATAAAGAGAAAATATGTTTCTTATATCGATATCTACCACTCCTTAAAATACTTGCATTTGTTTCTGGAACACCCTGTATAATTAGCAGATACGTTTCAGATATATTATAGATGGTAAGCACGAGATAGGAAGTTTAGTGTTAAGAATTCAGCAAGTTGACATAATGCTAATAAAAATCTGAAAATGACACAAAATGTGAAAAAGATCAAACTAAATACTCGCAATAATCGCAACCAGTCCGAAAAATTTGGCAATTTTTTAAACCTTTGTCGTACGATATAGGCTACTCTCCCCTAATCGGTAGTTCGAAGAATAACAGCAACATTGTTATTTTTATTGTAGAAAATTCGGCTGAATACTGGAAACCGCAAGCTTTTGTCTAAATTCGCAGAAAACGTCACATGCTTTAACATATAACGTTTTGAATGAAATAATTGTAGTCTGTACTGTTCAGGTTTATTTTTTCTTATTAAAAGTAAAAATAGTAAAAAAATATGGAAACATTTAAACATATTGAAAGACGAAATATATTTTCACTTACCGTTCAAAGGAGATTCGGCTGGAGGTGGGGAGGAATTTTCAGTCTTATTCAAGTGGGAAAACGAATTTCCCGAAAAAAATCCCTGCAAGAAACAAGAAATTTAATGATACTCATAGTTGCATAACATGTAATAAGATCGTCAAATAGTCTCAAAATACAAAAGATATCAATTATTTAAATAGTTATAATTCAAAACACAGGGTGTCCCAGAGATAAGTGCAAGTATTTTAACTGGTAGCATATTTCGGCCTCAGAAACATGCCTATGAGGTTTGTTGAAAATGTGGAATTTTTTGAAAAAAATTTTGGATATTTTATTAGTTTTAAGTTAAAAAACATAATTTCTTGATAATATGGCAACACAGGTAGTAGATTAAATTTACATGAAAGAAAATCCAGAAAAGATTCAGTGGTTCCCAAAATTTAAACAAAAAAGCATTTTTTGTTTAAATTTTCGAAGTAAAATAACTCGGTTATTTTGGACTTATTTGAAAAATGGTAAAGAGAAAAAATGTTTGTTTTGACCAGATCTACCACCCCTTAAAAAACTTATACTTATTTCTGGGACACCCTGTATATCAAATAATATAAAATATATCTTTTTTGTTCGATGCTAGATTGAAAATCATAGGCCCTGTCAAATTAATATCTCTCTCACTATATTTGTTACTAAAGCTACCATACGATCGAAAAAACGGCGTCAAAGACGGCTTGGGATGATAATTTTGGCGAGGTCAAGCGTCATTTATTTGATCCATACTCTTCGTTACTTTTTAATGGCGCTTGTATTAAGTTGTAATTTATTTTTGTGTTGAGCAAAAATTATTTAAATAAATATGTAGTGCAGTCGAGAAAAAAAAAATTTGGAAATAGATATGTGATTTTTTTTATTTCTCTATAATTAGTGTTAATTTTTGACAAATTTTATGTCATTTTTTAGTAAATGACGCCTAGAGATTGACCCCGCCAAAATTATCATCGATTGTCATTCCCCAGTCGTCTTTGACGCCATTTTTTTTTCGATCGTATGGTACTTATATGTGTTACTAGAGATTTTCAAACACACAGAAAAAATAAATATTATTGTTCTCTGTTTTATAAAACAATAAGATCTCTTATCTATCATCAGCATTTAATTCGAAACAAATTGCCTTAAGATAAAAAATACAAGAATAATGCGGAAGAAAAACATTTTTTAGAAAACAGTAAATTTTGAACTCACCGTGAGAAACATAATTTTAAATTATTCCGGTACTACCATATTTTACTATTTTGTTTTATTATTTAGTTTTAATAGATGCGAAAATCCAGAACAATAAAATTGTTTCAGATTACACTAGATGCGATGATTAGGCCAATCATTGTATAAATTTTAAACAAAATGTTATTCATTTACTTACTTATGGGAAAATATAAAACATCTAGTGTAAGTTTTGAAATCCATTTTAATACGGGTTGATTACTTACCTACATATATTCGATACCAATTAAACTTTTAGTCACGTAATCGAGGGCGCTATTTTTAAATTCATTTTTGCCAACCATTGATATATTCGGCGCCAAGTTGACTAACGAGAATTTAAATTTCCCGCTGGGGTTTCAGGCGGTAGCTCTACTGTAAAAAATGTCAAGTTGCCACATTTATTTATTTATTTCCTGACATTGTTATTCGTTTTGACACTTTAGTTTTGTATTATGATATTTTGGTTTAAATCAATTTTGTTGTGATACTTTAAGCTTACAAAAATTTAGTAGCAGACCTTGCAGTCAACATTATTCTTTTTATAAACTCTTTTAACTCAGCGCAACCTTATTAGAATATATTGAACAGAAAAGTGGTAGTAATGGACCTTTATGTCCCTTAAGAGCTATTAAGAAGGTGAGTTTTGTTGATGTAAATAATAACTGTTTATATATTTATAGTTTACTTATTTTTGTTTCCTAAAATATTTTGATTAACGAAAATATGTAAAACTGGGCAACGCTGTGCCGGTCAAGCTTAATCACGTCACTAAAAGTTTATTTGGTATGATCTATAGACAAAAATACTTACCGTTAATGTAGGTTTAGTTTCTAATGAATAAACAAAAAAAGACATGAAAGTAACACACTGAAAGAAAAAAGGTGGTTAGAATAAATAAGACGAGTGAAAATAAAGATGAATAAATAAGGTTTTCAGCAATAACAGTACAGGGTGGCTCGAATTCGACGCTCATCATTGGGATTTCGGAAACCGTAAAAGGTACAGGATCGGTTAAATGGAGGAAAAGTTGCCTCCATTATTGTTAATTTGATACTCAATAAAATGCCGTATTGCATTTTGAAAAATTCCGAATACTTCCGAAGATATTCGAAAAAAAAAACCGGGATTTTCAATTTTGTTTTCTTTTGATTCCTGGCTTTATTTGTTAAGATAACTTAAAATGAAAAACACATCATGGTCACTTTTTCTACTCTATAACTCTGTGTGATTAAAGATTGACTCTGACGTTTCGATTTCTGGCGATCATCAACTTAATTTTTTTAAACACGGACCTGATTTTTTTTTAATTTAATTAAATCTTTTCATCACTCTTAAAACACTATATATAGTCACTTTGATATTTGCCGACGTTTCATACAGAAAATTCCATCACCAGAATATTTTATGCAAAAAAAATAAAAATGCAATACGGCATTTTATTGAGCATCAAATTGCGCAACTTTGCCTCCATTTAACCGATCCTGTATCTCGTACGGTTTCCGAAATCCCAATGATGAGCGTCGAATTCGAGTCACCCTGTACATTGTATACGTAGCAGGAAAAGCTACACATTCCCCTACACATTGCCTGTCAAAGGCTAAGCCCCGACAGGCATTACAGAAACCAGGAATGTAATATATGTGCCTACGAGGCATATATTCTACGATACGATTGAAAAAAAAACGGCATCAAAGAAGGCTTTTAATGACAATCCACGATAATTCTGGCGAGGTCAAGCCCTAGACGTCATTTACTTGGCCCCACTCTTCCTTATTTTTTAATGGCGCTTAGTGTTAGTTGGCCTTAAGAAGAATTTATTTTTATATTGAGTAAAAATTATTTTTAAATGGTGTAGTTTAAAATTCGAGAAAACATATTTTTTTGGAAATAGATTTGTGTGTCTGGCAAGGTTCGTTTTAATCTTTCTACAATTAAAGTTAATTTTTAAAAAGCTTTATGCAAATTTTTGACGTCTACAGATTGATTCCGTCAAAATCATCATGGATTCTCATTCCCCAGCCGTCTTTGGCGATGTTTTTTTCGATCGTATGGTAAGTACGAGTATATTGAAATTTAGAATACACAAAAATTTTAAGGTATTCATTTTTAACCGTCGCCGTCGCGTCGGTTAATGTATTATTTATTACGAATAACCTCATCAGATTACCTCAGAATGCACCAATTGACAATTTAAGCAATCCAAATCATTAGTATAAGCAATGTACAGCATTAATCATTCTACGAAAACCTACCGAACGCCTGCTATCTTCATCACTCTTCCCTCTGTAATACTCCTCAGAGTACGAATACTCCAGCTCCTCACTCCTTCTCCGACTAATCACATCCGCACCATCCAAATTCTCTTCTTTCTTCACATTCAAATTGAGCGGAAGCAAGCTTTGTCTCGCCCCTTTCGTGCTTTGCTGCCCGAACAAACTGGACGAGGCATGACTCAAACTTGTCGGAACGTGTTCTGAGGCCTGGCCTTGAGGTAGTTTCGATCCCATTAAGGAGAATTGACTAGAGAACAATGAGGGGGTGAAGGGAGTGCTTCGAGAGGATTCCGCGGGGGTTTTGGGGGAGAGAGGAGTGGATGGGGGCGTGGGGGGCTCGCTGAGGGGGTGGTGGGGATTGGGGGTTGAGGTTAAGGAGAGGTTTTCGAAGATTTTGCCTGAAATCAAAAGAAAAGAAAATGTAAGTTTGTTATAAAGGCTGGAACGCATATAAAAGAGGAGTAATAGGGGTAATTATCCCTCCTAGAAAGTAGTTTATACATATAAAATGTGTGACATAAAGTAAAATCGTTTTGAAAGAAATTAATAATACCAATACCAATCAAAACAGAAAATCCAGGTTAATCCAAGTTTATTTGTTTAAAAGTCCCAATACCTTTCAAGGTATATAAATTTAATATTTAAATCTAGTAATTTTCTGAAATATTAACATTACACCTTCCAGAGTCAATCTCCAAATGCGCCACTGCATATAAGTAAATACATAATGTATACTACTATTCTATTACTACTGCCACTACTTGTTGACGAGCATTTGACACGCATCAGAAGATGGTTAGGCAAGGAGTTTTCTTTCATGAGTTTTTCTGTGACTGAAAAACCCGATACGTGATGTTATCTCTCTTCCGCACTCCGGACATTCAAAAGTCTCGTTACTTTGTTGCCTCTTTACTTTTTGGTTGTTGTTGTTAACTAAGTTTACAATTCTCCTCCATTGCCCTCTATTGTGCGTTGTTTCCTCCCATTGATACAGCAAGTTTATCCCCTTTAAGTTTTCATGGGAAATATCCTTGGACCTTTTGAGATATCCACCCGGTTTCCTCTTACCGTCTACAAGCTCACCGCAAAGAAGAGATTTCGATAGACGGTTTTCTTGCACATAACGTATAGGTATACATAACACAACTCGGTCTGCCAAGACCGTGAAATAGAAAACTGCATTCAAGTATGAGAACAAGAGAGATAAATAGGAAGGTATACCGACGATCTTCAAACCGCTGATCGTCATAACCGATTTTTCGCAAAAAATGTTAAAAATTCTGCATTTTCTTTTACATTTTCCTGTATATTTTAGAAACCTTTTTAGAACTGCCTATTAACCGCCAAATTTTCGCACAGTACAATTTCTTAATCTCTGATATTACCATGGTTACGATACTAAATGGATGCAATTACAGAAAAATTGCGGTGGCTCTCAAAATTTTCTAAAAATAAATCAATTTTTTTTGAATTTTCAAACATGAATAACTCAGTAATTTTAGCCTTATTTGAAAAACGGTAAAGAGAAAATATACTTCTTTTATCGAGATCTACCAGTCCTGAAAATATTTGTACTTATATTAAGACTCACCCTGTATTTATTTGTGTTCCGTAAGATTTTAACCTAAAAACGTTCATTTTCATTAAGTTTTCAGGTTAATTCAAGTTTTTGTTTTGTATATAAAATACATAACATGATATAAAAAATATCAATTATTAATTTCTTTATATTTATTGCCAGATAAAAATTAGGAATAATTTTTTTTAAATGGATGTAAAATAGATATAAAATTCCATACAATATCTAGGAACAGAATTATAAGCTATTCTCTTAATGTGTTCGACATGTCTTTTAACTAAATTTCTCTGATATTTGTATTAAGCTAGGTGTGGCCATTCTGGTAAAAATCTAGTAGTTCTATGACTCAGACTAGACAATGTTATAAACGAGTTACAAGAGCTATTTCAAGTTTCACAAAGCTACTTTAAAGACATTTAGATAGACCAAATGAAATTCTGGAGTTTTCGCATTGACACGCGAGAACCAGTCTTAGGCCCCGTATACATGTAACGTTCTACCTTACGTCTTACTTGTTTAGTGAATACGTATGAAGTAAAACTTTGTGACGTCTTTCAAAAATTCGTAGTAGAAGTTAGTTCCTGTAATTTGAATGTATGCATTCAGAACGTCAAAATTAGTAGTAATAATTTTAAATTTCAACAACTTTTTCAACTAATTATATTTCAAAACTTGCGAGTAATGTCATTTTCGCCTTTGATTATCATCCGCCAAGAGAAATTGAGGTTAGAAGTCAAAAGTTTATTGTTTTCTTTGAATAAGAAGACTAAGGTAGGAGCATATCAAAAATCTTAGGTACACCGCAATGGGCCTCAAATATGGCCGACTTAATATTCCGGTTTATCAGTGTCGTTCTAATTTTATTTAAAAAATGTAAAATAAATTGTTTGTTGTTTTATTTTACGTTGTGAATAAATGTTGGTAGTTATTAAAATTGTTATAAAAATATATAATTCTAATAAAAGTAGATAAGTTATAATAAGTATTTATTACCACAAACATCCGATACGCTACTGAAGCAGGTAAGTCAAATTAACGTATCTAAATTCTTTGACATCTAATCTTTAATATATAATTTAGTTAATTTAAGTGAATTTCATAAATGATCGGTTTACTATACGTATGTATATTATATAGTCACTTACTAGCGAAAAGTTGTTCCATTATTTCACTCAATTTTTGCCGAGATCTACCGTACGCTACACAACCAACTATTTTAGAGTCTTTTTCGATAAATCGCTATAGTGTCACTGTTAATTTAAATTCTGCCACAATTTCCATCTAGATTTACTACCTTTATACAACTATCAGTAGTAAAATAAATAATAAATAACATAAAATAAGCTCCGTAAAGACTGACAAATCCACAAAATTTCAAATCAACTTCAAATGTGTCAAATAAATCGTCAAACAGAACTGTCACGGATCCCCACCCTAGAGTCCTTTTTCCGCCCACCATGCATTAATATATGGATAGCATTATGCTCCTTCCTTAGTCTTCTTATTCAAAGATTGTTTTATAAGCTAGGGTGTATTCCGTTGCTTATACCTTGGTTATGGTTTTATGTTTCGTTTCTATCGGTTTCTTGAAAGTTTTCTTGTTACGGAATACGGTTCCTGAAAAATTCGGTTATAACTGTCACCAAACTAACCAGCGCGAGAAGGCTGGTTTTTCTGGATTTGTTTGTCAATCAATGTCATTTATGTGACAGAAATCAAGCAAATAATGGAAGTTCGAGTGAAATTCTCATTTAATTTCTAAAATTTGTAATAATATTTTGTTTTTACATCCAAAAGCAATGGAGGTAGGTAGTAAAGGTAAATAAATTTCCTTAACTAAATAGAATGATTTTTTAGGACATTTAAACTTATCATGCAGCCATGGTTTCTTAAAATCAGGAAGATTTAAAGAAAATATGAACAACAAGACAACAAGTAATCGTGAATGTTTTGTAAGCTATAAAAATATAAAATATAAATATTGATTAGATTTGTTTATTTATATTTATTATTGATCTATTTTAATATTGGACCTCTGCAAATCTTCACTTGAGCTGTCTAACGAGTTTAACAGTTTATTAATAAAGTACTTTTCAATATTAAACTCCACTGAAAAGAAGAAGCAAACGTAAAAGCAGAGAACGCAGGTACATTAAAAATGCATAAAAGATACATTTTATAAAAGAGGTATTGAAATTTAGAAAACGTCAACGTTTGACGTTTCCAGTATTTTACCAAAGCGTTCCGTATCAAACAAATATAATGTATATAATTTAATTAATTATATTTAATTTAAAATATAACGTAGTCTTTGCGATATCTCCCTATCTGTACGCTATTTCAAGCTTCCTTATGTTATTTAGTATTCAAATATTAATTTATAGTGGTTCGTTGTCAACTGTATCTTTCTTCCTCTTGATGAACGTGTTACAGTCGATCCTTGTCTCATCAATATAACTTGTCCGAAGCGTTGGACAGGTTACAAGATAGAATTCTTTGAAAAATGATGAATTTATTACATTGGCTGTTTATTTTTTTTGACACTTGATCGATTTTTTAATACCAATTGAATGTACATCTCTAAACTTAATGATGTCTGTTTGAAATTATATTTATTAAAACTAGTAATATTACTCGTCATCACACAGTCCAAGTGCTTTGACAAAAGTCAGTCTCTAAGACAGTTTTACAGTTAGTTCTCCATCTCCGATATCAGTAGTACCAAAGTTTACTTTTTTACTTTAAAAAATCTTCATATTCCTTCAACTTCACAAAAAAATCCCGATCTTGTTAAAAATTACCAAATTTCGTGTATTTTGCCTATTTTCTAATGAGGAGAAAATTTTTAAAAACTTATTTCTGGTAATTTTTGGACACCAATGTATTTAAATAAACTTTTCATTAAAAAAATAACACGATCAAAAATCCTGAGTGATTGATACTCGACAGCAGTATTATAAAGTATGTTTCAAGAAATTCATTGCTTACAATGACCAAGTTTAAACCAAGAATAATTAATCGTGCAAGAGACGCCATGATCAGCTGACTTATTACCGACATTTTGATCTGCAGTAAGTACTTTACACTTTGACATTAGATAATACATACTAATTTCATTCTCGACTTAAGACTATTTCCGAACAATAGTGTATTGTTTTATTAGGAGTAAAAATTATACTTTTTTTGACGATGCTGTACCTTTGAAGCATCGAAAAGCTATTCCGACGTTACAAGGAGGCATAAAAAGTACCTACATTTTTACTCCCAATAGAACATACTATTTTTTTAAAACATTACAAATATTTTTTTAATCAAAATCAAACTTTACAAAAATAATGTAAACAGTAATCGAGCAACAATTTGTACACTAGTTGAATTTGACGCTTAATATCAGTTTAATACTTTGGTTTAATAATATATTTTTGTACTTCTGTGCTTAGGCGTAACAGTGCTTTACTTTTATGTCTAAGGGTTAAAATGACAAAATTTAATACTTTTGAGACGTTTGAAAAAAAATCCTTTTGATCTGAAGCGAACGACTTTTTTTGCGGAATATATTGGTGACCGATGTGGAAAAATCACACGCTCCGTAGAATTGTTAATGTTATCGGTATGGGGGTATAGATTTAGCCATTTAGGATAGGACTTTAATTGGAAATAAGTCCTAGTCATTTGTAAATCCCATTTAAATATTGTTTTGAATTAAAATCAAAAAAATCTGATTTAAATAAAAAAAATCTGATATTTTTGATTTTTTTTTTAAAATCATGATTTTTTCCAAACCTGATTTTTTGTTAAATATTTAAATCTTACAAA